ATAATCAGTAGAACCAACAGACGTAAGTTAACTATTCCCCCTTTCCGAAAAAGTCGGTAAATGGTAGTGGCTGCCGATATGCGAGATATTCGACATACTTTGGACATTGCTCTGGCATGGCCAAGTCTACCCATAAAACTGGCTTCGAAATACCGAAGCCTACTTCAGCATACTGCAGGGCATTCGTTTAACAGGTGGGAAAAGCTCTTCTGCTAATCATTGTTACTGTAGCTCCTTCAGCATCTTCTGATACGGGCTCCCGTCATTCATGTTGTCCGCTTAGGTAATGCCCCGTCAGAACTCCAATTACCTGTTTCAGCCAAGTTTGCTTGGCAGTAAAGTTTTGTTCTCTCCTTAACGTGGTTTTCAATGAGACAATACTTTTTTCGTAGTTGGACTTCTTGAGCTGTTACTAGGTTTATGTTCAGTTTGTTTTGTCATTTCGTTATGAACAGAAGCTCACTTTGGGTTGGACGGGTACGATAACAACCAAAAGTGTCGCAATTACAATCATGCTAATTCCCAAGCCATTGTTGATACGCCATAGGTAGAGAGAGAGTCATTGATTTGTATTTCTTTATGAAGCTGGTCATAATGTCAAAGTCAATTAGGAGTGCTGTAGAGTCATGTTGAATGACTGTTTCGTGCCACAGTTGGAGGATATTGAAGTGGTCGACCTTTGGTTTCAACAAGACGGCGCTACATGCCACACTGGCAACAAAACAACTAATTTATTGATTTGGTGAACGCATAATCTCGCGTCGTGATCCTATAGCCGTGACCTCTAAAATCGTGTTATTTAACAACGCTGAACAATTTTTTGGTAGGTGTGTGAAGACGCTTGTCTACGCAGGTAAACTCGAGACTAGGAAGAAAATATCACTGTTGACATATAGTCCAATTTGCTGCAAAATGTGGTAAAAAATTACAAAAATTTGGAACTCTCGGCAGGAATTTATTGGGACCACCCGCGGCGGTCACTTGTCCGAAGCCATTTTTAAACATAATAAACCCTTATTCTTATAATAAAGAGCATTTTCTTTAAAATATATAATATAAAAATAAAAAAAAGGCATTTAGATTTAGATTTAGCCCACGAAATTTGAAGACTCAGCTTATGTTTTGAGCACACCTCGTCTCTGTGCGCAGTACTTGACTTTGAAAAATGTGCCACTGAAGCCATCTGCATATCATTACTTTGTAAATATTCAAATAACTTGACAGAAATTCCAACAGTTCTTTGTGTTGTGCTACTTTCACATATGTAACTCTCAACACACGCACATACATACCTATGAGTTTATGAGTATAAACATACAATTCTCAAAACACTAACAGCCAATTGTTGCTGTAACCCTTTTACTGAGTAAAAGTACAGCTCTATGACGTTGCCAAAATTTCTTAGCACTTTCTCTGCGCTTGGCGTGTATTACTTTTATTTAACGAAAAAGCGAAAAAAAACCCAAAAAAAATAAAATAAAAAATAATACATGAAACTATTATTTTTTGTACAAAGAAAAAAAAAATTCTCCCTTTCTGCTCTTATCGATTGCTAGCAAGCAACAAATTTTCCATTTTCTGTACAAACTTTCCAGCAAATGATGTACACTCAGAGAGACCACCAGACCGTACGGGGTAATGTAATGGTAATATTAGATTAGATCGTTGCTGCCACTTCAATGTTCTCATGGAATCGTTCGTTTGTATAATTTCATGCAAAATTCCTTATGTACAGTTACGTCGATTGTATCGACCGTCCGACTTGCCATAAATAATCTTACTACACACATACTTACATACTCACATATACATAAGTTAATCATACAGTTGAAATAAATCGTGTTTTCGTTTCGTAAAAGTCGCAAGTGGCATGTTCTTTAAGTGATGCGATTTTTTTTTTTTTTTTTTTTTTTTTTTTTGTATGTCAAAATAATAATGACGGCCATGAGGTAGCTAAATTTGTGTTCGGGTATTGGTAAGGTTGTTTGTAAGCTATGAATCGATGAATAAAATTACTAAAAAATTTCAAACACGAATTCTTTTCATATACCGGTATTGTACTGCCACACTGATTTCAAACCGTTACCATATCAATTTTCTAAATAGTAGAAGAAAAAGGTTTTTTTTTCTAATTGCAGTCGCTCCTCGGCGTCCGCTCCGAGTGTAATTTTGACTGCAGAGAAAAGCTTCTCTCGGAAATTCCTGTACCCGTTTGTAAGAAAAACAGCTTTAACATACCAAAAATGAGTTTAGAATCTCGACAGAAGTTCGTTTTAGCTGCTAAATCTATACTCTTCTTAATTAGCTTAGCCATCGTTAACGCGATTATAGGCGAGAAAGCCCGCACCTTCTCCGCATAATCTTCCCCCCAATGTGTTCACCTTCGCAGGTAGGCAAAAGTCGAACTAACGTTCGCAAAACGCTTCACTCGAAAACTCCTCATTTCCACTAGGGTTTAGTCTTTGTTTGTTGAGAGAGAGGCCTTTACTTTTCAACGGACCGGACAGTCAAAAGAGAGCGCAAGAGTGTTTCTGCGTTGCATTTTTGAGCTGACGTTATTGTTGTATACTCTGTCACCCGTTTGGGTTGTGTAAAGGAGCATGTTCTTGTCTTGAAACCTTCTTTTGGTTGCCGGGTAGGCAGCATCTTTTTTTCTGCACTGCGGTACTACACTCCTCATTGCATCGGCAGTTCTTTCGATATTGTCAAAGAACAATAATTTTGTTTTCGGCTGAAGCTTAAATGCCGTTACACAGTTGTCTTATATCGATTTGACGAGTTTGGCTCTCAAAGAGCAGGAAAACGATTCGAGAAGAGTACGGACTGACGGTTTCTAACGTTTGCAGCAAAAGCGCAGCACCACAAAAGAAGACTGAGAAACTCATGGCAATGGTCTTTTGGGATTCGTAAGGAATATTGTTTAACTGAGGACTACTTCATTATAGGCGCGACTGAAAGAAGTCATTAAAGCGTGGCAAATGTATAAAAAACACCGCGTTGCCTTGGCTACCCTGAATAAGTTGGTCTGCAAAATTCTTAAACACCCACCCTACAGCGCAAACCTAGCTCCGAGTGTTTATTAGCTGTTTTCAAAAATGAAAAAAAAAGCTGAGGGTTAAAAAAATTCACTATCGATGATGAAGTCAATGAAGTAATTTCGGCGTATTTTGAAGGGATAAAGAGCAAACATTTTTGTATTAGGATATAAATAAATGTGTTGAAAATCTGAAAAATCTATTCTTCAGGAAAACTAATTTGTTTCTTTATATCTACCATTTATTCCACATTCCGGGAATTTCAGGTGTACAACTTTGCTTCTGCCGTTTTTTTTTTTTTTTCAAAAATAAAAGCTTTATTACGAAAAAGGGCTTACAGATCAGATATATTATTCAAAGTATTGTCCTTCGCTAGCGACAACTTTCCCCCATCTTTCCGGCAATTTTCGAATCCCGGCTCGAAAAAAAGAGTCCTCTTTTGACGCTATCCATGAAGCAATTCATTTTTCCAATTTTTCGAAGGATTGAAAATGTTGTTCTGCCAGGCCGTGTGCCGTCGAACGGAATAGGGGGGAAGTCAGAAGGGGCGACATCTGGGGAATACGGCGGGTGGGGTAAGACTTCCCATTTCAGCGTTTCCAGTTACTTTTTGACCACTTTTGCTCGATGTCCATCGGTTTCAACTCGTGCGGCACCCAGTTTCCTTCTTTCTGAATCATGTCCAGGGCCTTGAGACGTTTTGAAATGGCTTGCTTACTCACTCCCTAGGATTCGGCAAGCTGTTCTTGGGTTTGGCAGGAATCTTCATCAAGCAATGCTTCTAGTTGTTCATCTTTGAAGGTTTTTTCTCTTCCACCACCATGTTTGTCTTCGACATCGAAATCAACATTTTTAAAACGTTAAAACCACTCCCGACACGTTCTTTCACTCAGAGCAGCATCACCGTAAGTTTCTGAGAGCATTCGATGCGCTTCAGCTGCATTTCTTTTTTCGAATAAACGGACATTTTCGAGCGTGAATAATACGAAAACAAAAACAACTGTCACTGAAACGGCGACGACAATTCGTTAGGCACTGTCCACACTCACTTTAAAGGCATTATCATCTATGTATTTCAACCAGCCTCAGCCGGTACAGCCACCTATCGGAAAACGGCGGAAGCAAAGTTGTACACCTGATAAAAATGCTAGATCACACTTTATTTGCCCACGCTGTCGTAGTATCATCATTTTCTTCCCTCAGGGCTTAGGAAAAAATCAGCGATAGGTTGAAGTACTTCGCTTCGATTCGTATTATGGCTGGAGATTCATTGTGTCACAAATAAAAATAAAAATTTTCGAAAAATACTCTTTAAAACCACACATTGGCTACGTCACTCATTAACCGCGGAATAATAGTTATACAGACTTTCAGACAGAAAATCATGTTAAGAAATTGTTAATAATTTATTTATTAATAAAATGTCCATTCATATGTAGATGCATACCAAGAAAATATATTTATATCTTTCTTTATAATTTGATAAACAAAAAAGCGTCTGCGCTGCTGAAATTAATATTTCATTAAACTATAAAAACACTTTCATTACACTCAACAACAGCAAATAAAGAAGCGCTCGCACTCCCTGCTCTCAAACTCTTTCATAACTCAACTATAAATGATTTCACTTGATTTTCCAGCTACAATAACAATAACAATAACAATACCAAAGTCATTTCCATTTCCTCCGCTCAATCGGGATTCATGAATAAATAAAAAACTGAATGAAGAAATCAATATTGAAAGTGTGAGATATGCCATGGTTACATACAAATAACTGAAAAATAATATAAAAAAAAGTCAGATTGACAGTGAAATGTCACAAGTTCAAGCTGCTTTAACAATGCATGATGAACCCTGCCTTGACGAATGAGGATGGTCAATAGGTGGCGGTAAAGAAAAGGGCGCACAAGACTAAAGCAAAAAACAGAGAGAAGAAAAATAACGCAAAAAGAGCAGAGAATAATATAAAAATCAAAGGCAACAAATAAACTTATAAATTATAGTAAAGTCTATATATATACAGATATGTAATACATAACAAACCCCTTGAGATTATCTGCGCGATAAATACTTTATCAAGCAGCTACAACTACAATTGAACTAACGTATAGTACATATATATATGTATTTAGTAAGTTGCAACAATCCGTAAAAGCCGGTCAAGTTGTTAGCCAACGTTGCTGCCCTTCAAGTGTATACATATTGTACATTGTGCCTGCGCGTTTTCATTTTGAGGTCATCAATCAATTTATATTCTTCAAGCAATTTTTTCGCTTAACGGTTAGAAGAAAATGCGCTATCGCAAATATAGAAAATATAGTTGGAACTCTGACGAGTCCAGCGCACGACAGACAACAAGGTAATTTCAGTTAATTTTTGTTTGTGTTGTTGTGTTGTTGTGTTGCTAGAAAACTAAAGTAAAACTAATAATTTGAAAGTAATTGTATTGTTGTAGCAGCACATATGTACGAGTATGTACATATTGTAGATTCATTCATTCATATGAGTATATGTAGAAGGCAGAAAATTACGGTAATTAAATAATTTTAATTTATTTTTAGTTAAATGTAGGTTGTTAAATTTATTAAAAAATAAAAATCTATTTTTGGAATATTATTATTTTTATTGTTATTTTATTTACTATTTTTCTTTCATTTTTTTTTATTTTTTTTTATTTTTTTTTTTTACTATTTTTTTAATTTTTTATTGTTATTTTATTTACTATTTTTCTTTCATTTTTTTAAATTTTTTTTTTTATTTTTTTTTATTATTTTTTCAATTTTTTATTGTTATTTTATTTACTATTTTTTTTTATTTTTTTTTTTTACTATTTTTGAAATTTTTTTTTTGTTATTTTATTTACTAATTTTTTTTTAATTTTTTTTGTTATTTTATTTACTAATTTTTTTTTTTAAATTTTTTTTTTAATTTTCTTGTTTTTTTTTTACAATTTTTTGAATTTTTTTTTGTTGTTTTATTTACTATTATTTTAAATTTTTTCCTAATTTTCCACATAATAAAATACGCCAAGTGCTACATTTATATAGGGTTATCCATTTTGTGGTTTCAAAAGTACAAAGCTTTATGTTGACATCTGTCAAACTAAACATGTTTTGTTTTAGTTAAAAGTCAGGCAATTGAATGCCTAAAAAATGGCGATTTAGACGTAGCCACGCTTCGTGCTTTAGAAGAAGTTTATGGTGCACATAATCATCCAACTACCCAACGAGTTGGTAAAATTTTTAAGTAATTTGTAGGAACTGGTTCGGTTACAGATACTGTAAGATCTCTGCATCATCGTTTTGCTTGCACCGAATGTCTCTATTAACACTGTATATGTACTGTACTGTACTGATACATACGTATGTCTCCCAGCTGGAGAAAAATATATTTCTTACCATGTGGACCTCTTAAAATAAGCTTGGGTTAGATTACACTGCCTCGCCTTGCATCGACTTGACTTCGCATATCGTTTAAGGCGTGTTCTAGATTAGATCGCACACAATTAGAGGAGGTTTCCGAATGTCTCACTTACTACACTTGGAATCCAGTAGATATGCAGTTGCCTCACTACAGTCACTTTATTCAGTACCTCCCTGCTTCTAAGGACTTCTTCTGACGTGAGTCACTTGTTGCTTTCGACGTACATATTTATGTTTTTTCATGTGCTTTCATGCGGTATTAACTAACTCAGCGGGCTTCCTAACCGTGAAGACCTCCATCTGGAAGATACCAACGTAATAAATTTCGACACTTCTTCATTCGTGTAGATGTAATTAGTCCCGCTACCGTGCCGGCGACCAATCTCTTTGACTGACTGTAGCTTGAAACCAAAGAAAGCCGTACAATTTACGACTAAGGTTTGACCTGGTGGTAATCATGATTTGAAGCGAAATATGTTTGATGAAAAGGAAACTGTTGAGGGAAATTCAAAGATGGAATAGTTCTCATACCGAGTACTCCGGTGATCCCAACCGTAAGGCCGTTTGCGTTTAATATGCAAAACATGTCAATGATTGTCAATGATTGTCGTTGTTGTTGTTGTTTTACTCGCAAAAATATTCCCTAGAATGGTTTATGGGAATGTTGCGGTAATGATAGTCCTTAACAAGATAAAATTCCGGCTCGTTCCGTTAAAAAAAGAACCGATATTCTCAGGCGTTGTTTGCTGTTTATGACACGACTTTGAAAATTTTGGTACGAGATATGTTCGATGATGATTTTTTCCTTATCTAGCCACACTGTGCATATCTCTGTATGAAGAAACACCTTACTACATATCTTACGCTTTTCAAATGCGTGCATAAGTTTTCCCATTATATGTACATTTTTATATTGAATACGCCGCATTCATTCATGCAGCACAAACATGTTGCATATGCAACACACACACACACACACACACACACCATATGGATGCATATGATCCCTCCACTTACGGAAAAGCGTATGTACATAAATAGCTGAATTGTTGGAAGAAGAAAAGTAAAATAGGTCAAATAAGAAAAACTATTTCAATACAATCATCATATAAAGGGAAAGGAAAAATGCAACGACTGAAAAAAATGTAAGGGAAATGCATCATGATAGCGAAAGTTTTCATAAAGTATACATACATACATATGTACATAATGTACAGCAATAAATAAATGGAATGCGTATAAATTGAAATCTGCGAAAAAAAAACAGCTTCAGTTAAAATAATCAGATCGCCTTTGAGTTGATACAAAACAAATGGGATTCAGGAAAAAGGAGTGCAATTTGTTTCGCTCTACCGGAAGTAAATTTACTTTATTACGCAAAATGTGGTTGAGCTCATTTACTTGTACCTCAATATTTTAACTACTACTGTTTTCGATATTTACTCTGCTAATTGGAAAAAAATAACCGATATTTGAAGTTTTGTTTTTACAGATTTTTTGCGTTTAGATATTTATTAAAACAGGTCAACATATCAGGTGTACAACTTTGCTTCCGCCTTTTTTNATTCGGTTTTGCCTTCGACGAAGAAGCATGCCCGGGCTTTCCTCATGATTTTCTGCGTTTAGGATTATCGTATCAAACCCACTTTTTATCACCGGTTACGATTAGATGTAAAAACCACTTACGATTTTGTCTTTGAAGCAGTTGCTCACATAAACATAGACGGCGCTTGATGTCCATCGGTTTCAAGTCGTGCGGCAGCCAGTTTCCTCCTTTCTGAATCATGCCCATGGCCTTGACTTCCAACGATTCGGCAAGCTGCATTATCATCTATGTATTTCAACCAGCCTCAGCCGGTACAGCCACCTATCGGAAAACGGCGGAAGCAAAATTGTATACCTGATAAAAATTATACTAAATTAATATTCTAATATTGATTCTCTAATGAACCTCATCAGATCCATTCTGAAACCTAGCGTTGCTCAAAGCAGGACAGTCATTTAAGAGATAGATGATCCTCCTTTTCTTTTCCTTGTTATCCTTGCAGCATCTTCTATAGGGATCCCCTAGTATTTTCGCATGTCGTCCTATCAGACACTGCCTATCAAAGCTCCCACTACTTGTCTACAATGTCTCCTGTTCATTCCACCTTAAAGCGTCTTGTTCATATGTAAATTCCCTGAGTAGTGGTTAACAAGTGGCAAAAAGTACGCCAATGTGTTCTTTATCGAGACGAATCTACTCGATCGTACCTTGCCTAGCAAATTCATACGCCTTACAGTTTCCCCTCAATGTCTCTGTGAACAGTGACCTACGTGAGAGGCAGCCTGTTCTGTTTGGCTATCTCCTGTAAAGCTCCGCGACAGTCCAAAACAAATTTGTAATTTCGTGTAAGGAAAGTCCAGTGTTTTTATTGCTGCCTGTCTGACGTTGAAAATGAAGATACCCTTGTCTTCATAGCTTCTTCCGCTTTGCTTTACAGCCTCCATGATAGCAGCTATATCTGCATTGAAAACACTGCAATCGTCAGGTAGCCCGAAAGAGAGTTCCACCGAAGGGTACTCTGAGAAGACACCTTTGTATCTCTGAAAGATAAAATGCTTGTATTATCTATAAGTTCGGAAGCAAAATCAGGAGACAAGATTTTTCAACTATCATATTTAAACGGCCAAATTGTTCTATAGTAGATAGTTGAGTTTGCCCGGGGTGTATAACGAGCTACTTAATCGACCAAGTAGGACCGGTCTCGTTCGGTTCGTCAACCTCAGTGTCAGATTTTTCAGAACATTCCAAAAAAATAAAAACTTCCTTATGAAACTCAAATTAGAGTAAGAACCCACTGCAGCCGGACATACTTCATTTTATAAAACCTGCCCTGGGCATGATTCAGAAAGAAGGAAACTGGCTGCCGCACGAGTTGAAACCGAGGGACATCGAGCAAAAGTGGTCAAAAAGTACCTGGAAACGCTGAAATGGGAAGTCTTACCGTACCCGCCGTATTCCCCAGATGTTGCCCCTTCTGACTTCCACCTATTTCGTTCGATGGCACACGGCCTGGCAGATCAACATTTTCAATCCTACGAAGAATTGGAAAAATGGATTGCTTCGTGGATAGCGTCAAAAGAGGACTCCTTTTTTCGAGCCGGAATCCGAAAATTGCCGGAAAGATGGGAGAAAGTTGTCGCTAGCGAAGGACAATACTTTGAATAATATATCTGTAGACACTTTTTCGCAATAAAGTTTTTAATTTTGGAAAAAAAGGCGGAAGCAAAGTTGTACACCTGATACTTTAATGTCTTTAAGGTGCTATTTCATTCATCTTTGAACCTTGTTTCCTACCAAAGTAACCACTAACCAAAATTAGCGTTCAAACCTATGTTGATGTCGTGGCCAGACAAGCTTTCAGGTTTTATAAAATCACGTCTTTCTGGCTGCAATCGGTTTTCAAACTACAAATAATTATACCCATAATATAATGCTGATGCGACCATCTATTATATGTATTTTTGCTTTTATTACATACATACTCGTATATACTTTTACACAATTTGCTGAAGCAATCATCCCATGGGAAGCCGCCCACAAATTTTCACGCTGCACAAATCAACTGGTTGCATGAACGGAAAACTGGTTTTCATTATGTGGTGTATTGTTGTAGTGTATTTTATGGCTCATGACTCACCGCAATGCTTTATCAATGCAGGCGTGCCGGGCCGGCGAGTTGAAGCTGCCTTTTACTTTTCGAAAACGCAAAGAAAAATAAAATAAAAAAAAATGTGATATGGAGAAGCACGATTTCGTTGTGCTTTCGAGCACTTTTTTCACTTATGTACATTCATAAAACTATTTATGTACAATACGATGTGCTCTTACATATTTGGTAGCCAACAAGCTTACATAACCAACACAAGTATAGACACCACATACGCCATATTA